GCGAGTTTACCTTTCCTTACTGACGTATATACGGAGTTTGTCGTCCTTACGGCACAAGTCGATCAAACGCTGAATTGGGAAGTCACGACGGACGATTCGAGAATTCGATACTTACAGGACTCGCTTCGCTTTGGGAACTTTGTCGTTTGAAATCCGTGTGTCGTTCGCGTCTATGTTCTATCATCATTTCCAATTCTCGTTTGCCTAGTATCGAACGTACGATGACAAGCGATGCGGATTGATTTCCGTAATTTGACGATGATAGTCGAGAACTAATTTCCTGTCAATCGCACGTCCTACAACATACGCTCATCCCTTTGAATCGACTTCGTTAGGAATCGTATTACCAAGATTTTCTGGTACAGAGCGTACGACTGTTGTAAGCAAGCAAAGACTTTTTCTCGATAAAGAGAGATAGAGAAAACTACTATTTCAAAAGAAACTCTCCAAGAATTTTTTACTAAAGACCAAACGTATTGACTACTAACTAATTAACGTTTCGTTTCGTATCAAAAAAATTTACGAGTAAGAATAAGATCGTCCTATATACTTGTGTTTGTAATTTAAAAAAGAAAAACGATGATTACCAACGTTATGGACAAGCGTCGTAAAAAGAAGTTCATTAATTTGGAGCCGATTGAAAGTGAAAGAAAAGAAAAAAAGAAAGAAAAGAAAAAAAGACAAAAATATGACTTTACCTTTTTATTTCGACACACGAGCAGCAGAATCGTATACTTTAATAGAACTCGAGAGCCGAGAGTGTCAACGGTACAGGAGAATATAAGTCCTCGTAAGAGAAAGGCAAGAGATTTTCTCGCAGTGTTTTAAGAGATCGCGTGGAAAGAATTTTTTAGCTTTCGGTGGAAGCACCAGCAGCTTTTCGGGGAAAGGCAATTAAGGGTGTCCGCCAGGTTTGCGCCATCGCCCCTCTGGAACGAAGAGAAGGCAGTTTGCCGAGAAGAAAAACGGCCGATATCAGTGGCGATGACCAGAGACGAAGGGACCGAGAAACGTTTCTCGCTCACAGAACCGTAGAAACGAACGGTAATGTCCTCGAGCCGGACAGAAATGAAATTCGTGTGATTTAGTCGTTCGAATTCACGGACAATCGGGGGAAGATAAATCCCATCCAAAAAATTTCTCTTTTTATCGAGTACACGCGCCATCTTTTGTACTTTTTCTCTTATATTTTTCACGATCGTTTCTACGTAGAATATAAGTAGAAATATTCTCTCTCGAATCGGTTTATTTTCCTCTTTCTTTTTCTTTTATACACTCCATTCGATGGACAACAAAAACTAGAAAATGTTTCATAGACGATTACCTACTCGCGTCCGTGTAATAGTTACTCTCGTTAGTCGACAAGGAGTGACCTTTTCGACCGCTTTACACGCCGATAAGTATAGTATCTGTGAGCGTACGCTAACCGTAAACGGTGAACGAGGGTATTCTCGTAAACAGAAGGGACGAGACTGTTTCTCAGCGGCTAAGGTACGTCTGTGGAAAACATAATAAATAGTCTAGTATAGGGTGCACTTTCTCGTACGTGTTCGCTATTACCAAATCAAACAACGTAGAAAGCAAACGATCCTTTCTCCTGGAATGAACAAAAAGCGGAATTCGATTCTAGCGTTCGTATCAGGGTAGACGGGTATTTTTTTCAAATCAGCCCTGACCTCGGTTCAGCTTCTCTACGCTTCAAAGAGCGAACCGCACACGCACGAATAATCGATGGCTCTCGCTCGTTCTACCGATTCGCTGTTCGGGTCGGAAGGCAGGGAGAGGATGAACAGGACTACCAAGATTTCAGATTTAACCCAATTTGCAATACGAGTCGCTACGCCGGATTGGCTCTTCGTTCTCCCTCTCACCCCCCCGCCCCCTTCTCTCTCTCTCTCTCTCGCACACTCTCTATCTATCTATCTAACTATGTATCTATCCATCCATCCATCCATCCATTCATCCATCCATTTAGCTCTTTCTCTTTCGTTCGTACGCTAATACGAATGGTTCGATGAAGTGTCGACGTCGCTCGCAGATCAAAGCGAACGTGGGCTTTGTAAATTAGAGTCGATCCGATATGTAAACGCTCAACGCTTATTGCCAACCGTGCATAATGCGGTAGCATCGACGGTTTGCGGTTCGTCCTTTTCGATTTAACGACGTATGCATTCTCTCGGCGCCGATTCATACCTCTTTTCTCTCTGACCGATCGAACTTTTCGATCGAGAAATTTGATCCGCGACCACTTTGAAAGTTTGGTATCGAGTATCGTTTAAACGGTCAGACAGGAGAGAAAGGAGGTTTCGAATTTAAGGCTTCTTCGCAAAGTTGATAGGTAGTAAATTAAACGGTAGAAGGAAAGATGAAAAGTACGGTATTACGTATCGGTTTATCGACCTTAATGACGTCGTAAAGAGAGTTACGTCCATCCGACCTGGATAATCCTAGATAGATCCGACACGGTAATAATAGCCGACACTAACGGAATCCTTTCAAT